AAGCCATCCTCTTGCCACTTGACTAGCTGGGACTGCAGGCATGTGCCACCACACCCAGCTAATTTTTTAAAAAAATTTTTTGTAGAGATGAGATGGGGTCTTGTTATGTTGTCCAGGCTGGTCTTGAGCTCATAGGCTCAAGTGATCCTCTCGCCTTGGCCTCCCAAAGTGCTAGGATTGCAGGCGTGAGCCACCATGCCTGGCTATTTAGTTTTTAATATGAAATTGAATATCTTTTTCAACTGGTCTGCAATACCAGCTTTATTCTATCCGAGGCTTATGCACATGCCTGACTCTCTATTCTACTTCTGTTAGTTAAATATTTCTTGTCAATCCTACGTTTTCTCAGTTACTTATAATAAGCCTCTTAAGTCTTGATGGTTGCTAGCTTAAGTTCTACTATTTGGTGGTTCTTCTTAAGGAGTGAATACCTTGGTTATTCTTGGACCTTTGCTCTTCATAACTCATCTGTATTATTTTTGATTTCCTATATAGCAATTTATATTACCTGAAAGTAATAGCTATTTTCTTTTCGGTTCTTATTTCTTCTCTTACTGAACTGCTTAGTGTCACCAATATAATTTGAATAGAAGTTATGATAGCACCCAGCATTTTGGGAGGCTGAGGCAGGTGGATCATGTGAGGTCAGGAGTTCACGACCAGCCTGACCCACACTGTGAAACCCCATCTCTACTAAAAATATAAAAATTAGCCAGGTGTGGTGGCATGCGCCTGTAGTCCCAGCTTTTTGGGAGGCTGAAGCAGGAGAATCATTTGAACCCGTGAGGTGGAAGTTGCAGTGAGCCGAGGTCATGTCACTGCACTCCAGCCTGGGTGACAGAGCCAGACTTAGTCTCAAAAAAAAAAAAGAAAAAAATTTATGATAACAAACATTTTTTTTCTGACTATAAAGAGAATGATTTTTGTTTCAACATCAAATAGGATGTTATTAAAGGTTTTTGACTCATTCACGTTGCTGGTAGTCGATACTAGCTGTAGGTTGGTGCAGTTCCATTTTGCCTCTCCACTGTGGTGGTATCTGAGTAATCTGACTTCTTTCCCCAATAGCTGATTTCCTCCAAAGTAATCAATCCCAGAAGCACTAAGTGGAAAGTACCCAGCTGTTTCTGGCCCAGCCTTGAAAGTTACCCACAGTCACTTCTGTTGCATTCAGTGGTTATAAGTAAATCACTTAAGTTGGTTCCGAATCAAGGGGAATGAATATAGACCCCTACTTCCCCATGGCAGGAATGTTGAGGAATTTGTTGACATGTTTTAAACCTCTAAGCCCAGAATATGGAATTTTCATAAATTTTTCTATATGTGCTTAAGGATATTATCTTGGTAACAAGGTTTTATGTGTCCATTAATTTAGGTTTGTCAGTTCCGTGGTTGAAATCCATTTCTTACTGCTTTCCTGCTTGATAGCTTGTTTTTTGTTGTTTCCTTATGTGATAAACTGTTTTGATCAGTTATTGAGAAGTAATTTTTTATATTTTGAAGATATTATTATTAGGTACATACAAATTATTATATTTTGCTGCTGAATTAAGCCTTTTATCAATATGTAGGATCACAGGAGGTGTGACCCTTTCGTCTCTTGTAATGGCTTCTACCTTAAAGATTATTTTGTCTGTTATATAATAGCCCTACCATTTTTTTCTGTTAAATATTTGCCTAGTTTATCTTTATTATTTTACTTTCAACATTTCTGTGTCCTCTCATTTTAAGTATGTGTCTTACAAGGAGCATATAGGTGGGCATTTATATTAATATTTTGTCTGAAGAGTTTAGCCCATTTACATTGATCATGTTTAGCTGATTTATTTGTATTTTTGTTCTTTCTCTTTTTTACCATCTATTCAACTTGATTTTTCTAGTCCTCTTTCCCTTCCTTTATGTCCTATTTTTGGGAATTAAGAATCCATCTCTTATTCCATTTTTTCCCCTTTGTCTACTTGTTTCAGATATTTCTGTGTTACTATCCTTATTATATATGCTGATTTGTCTTGGATTTTAACTTAAAATCTAATATTGATATCTTTATTGAATTTCTGATTAATAGAAGGCCCTTAGAATGCTTTGACTCATCCACTACTATCCTGATTTTTGTTTGTTTGTTTTTGAGATGGGGTCTTACTCTTTCGCCAGGCTGGAGTGCAGTGGCACAATCTCAGCTCACTGCAACCTCTGTCTCCCGAGTTCAAGTGGTTCGCCTGCCTCAGCCTCCCGAGTAGCTGGGACTACAGGCACACACTACCACACCCAGCTAATTTTTGTATTTTTAGTAGAGATGAGGCTTCTCCATGTTGGCCAGGATGGTCTTGATCTCTTGACCTCATGATCCGCCTGCTTCAGCTTCCCAAAGTGCTGGGATTACAGGCGCGAGCCACTGCACCCAGCCCCATCCTGATTTATATACTAGTTTTGTCCACAGTTTGTTACATCTTGGTTTTTTAAATCTCACAAACCAAACATGTGGTTCATTTTGTTTAGATTTACCCACATCTTTAACTTTTATTTTGCCCACCGTTCTTTCTTGAATCCAAGGGCTTTCTTTTAAAATAAATTTTTTTTTTTTTCCTTAGAGTATATCCTTTAAAAGTTCATTTAGTGAGGATCTGTTGGTCATAAACTGAGTTTTTGAGACCCGGGTTTAAAGTGCATTGTTCTAGAGAGGATTTGCATTTGCTTCTGGTAGTTGTGTCTAGGTACTACCGATCTAAGACACTTTATAGTAAATTCTTGATTTAGGGTTTTTCAGGCAAACAGATCATACAAATTTAGACCCCATACCTGCTTGAATGGAGGACTGTGATTGGGGCACTTCTGCAACACTTTTTTTGGTTTCTACCCAGCCAAGAGTGAAATGGGCACAACTCCCATTAATTATCCCCTCCCTCTGCAGAGCAGGGTGTTTGTTTTCCTACTTCACACGATGATGGAGTTCCCCTTTTAGCATTCTGGCTTGTCTCCTGAGCCCTGCACCTGTTGTCCATTGAAGCCTGGCTTTAGGCAAATGCCAACTGCTACATACTTGCTTCTCCCTCTGGATTCTTGCTTTCTCATCATTTCTGATCTTGGAAGAATTTCCTCACTTCTCTACTAGCTCAGAAGTGAATTTTAAAAGACTTTTAAAAAAACGTTTGATCCAGCAATTTTAGCAGTGCTCTACTGGGAGAAGTTTCTCTGAACATCAGATCTGCCATGTGTTGCTTGGAGTTGGCTTTGAGCAATTAAGTAAATTATGCTTCATAATAAATTTTTAGCAGGTGCAGTGGCTCACACCCGTAATCTCAGCACTTTGGGTGGCTGAGGCTGGTGGATCACCTGAGGTCAGGAGTTTGAGACCAGCCTGCCTAACATGGCAAACCCCATCTTTACTAAAAATACAAAAATTAGCTGTGTGTGGTGGCGGGTGCTGTAATTCCAGCTACTCGGGAGACTGAGGCAGGAGCATCATCATTTGAACCTAGGAGGTGGAGGTTGTAGTGAGCCAAGATTGCCCCACTGCATTGCAGCCTGGGCAACAGAGCAAGACTCTATCTCAAAAAAAAAAAAAAGGCCAGGTGCAGTGGCTCACTCCTATAATCCCAGCACTTTGGGAGGCCGAGGCGGGCAGATCACAAGGTCAGGAGTTCAAGACCAGCCTGGCCAACATAGTGAAACCCCGTCTCTACTAAAAATACAATAAATCAGCCAGGTGTGGTGGTGTACGCCTATAATCCCAGCTACTCAGGAGGCTGAGGCAAGACAATCACTTGAACCAGGGATGCGGATGTTGCACTGAGCCAAGATTGTGCCATTGCAGTCCAGCCCAGGCAACAGTGCGAGACTCCATTTCAAAAACAAAAAAAAGAAAAGAAATTTTTTTTAATGAATTTTTCTAAGAGTTCTTTTTCTAATAAATCAGAGTGTTAGGCTGGGCGTGGTGGCTCAGGCCTGTAATCCTAGCACTTTGGGAGCCCGAGGTAGGCAGATCACTTGAATTTAGGAGTTCAAGACCAGCCTGGGCAATATGGTGAGACCCCATCTCTACAAAAAACAAACAAACAAAAAATTAGCTAGGCATAGTGGCATACACTTGTAGTCCCAACCACTCAGGAGGCTGAGGTGGGGGGATCATTTGAGCCCAGGAGGTCAAGGCTTCAGTGAGCCATGCTCATGCCACTGCATTCAGCCTGACAGAAAAAGACTCTGTCTCCCAAAAAAAAAAAAAAGAGAGAAAGAAATTGGATTATTAAATATATTCAGTGAAATCTTCAGCTTAAAAGATGTAGTTTCTAATAGATTTTTCTTTCAGAATAACATTGTATTTTTATATCATACTTTTAAGAACAAGTTATAATGAAATAATACTTAAAACTTCATGGTCACCATTATTAGAATGTCTTCTGAGGCATAAATTTACTTTTATTTTCATCATAGATTTGGAAGTTAGAAATATTTTCTGGGTTAAGATAATTGTGTCCTTTTTAACCTTTAGAGGCATAGTTTTCTTTCAGCAACTATGAAGTAAAAATGAAATGTTGTCTCTTTAGCCAGCTATCTAATCTGCTATGTGTCATAATTTCTAAATTGCCCTCTTTTTTCTCATTTTTATTTTAAGAGGAACTTGCATTTAATAAGTTGAGGCTTTTTTTTTTTTTTTTTTTTTTTTTTTTGCCTTTTATTGCTGAGGGAAAATATATCACATCTTGAAGTGCACAGGGAAGTTTAGAGTCTAACTTATTTTTTCACTTATTCCTAGTCCTCTGGGCCTAAAAATCAAACATTTGATTGAGTGGATTAAGCAAGGATATATTATGTTGTATGCTTTTCCCCCCAATTGGTGAGTGCTATGTGTATGTGTGTTTGGACTTGTACATAAAATATAATTGGTTATAAGTGGTTTTTTATGTGTACTTATTGCAGAAGATACTTCTAATAGTAATAGACTGTTTTCACTTTATACATTTGTGAAAACTGAGTGACCCGTTATTCTGCTTTTATTCTCTTAGGGTAATACTGAACAACCTGTCCAAACTAGCAAGATTGGACTTGGAAGAAGAGAGTATCAGAGTTTACAACATCGCCATCATTCTCAGCGTTCTAAGTGCCGTCCACCTAAGGGCATGTATTTAACCCAGGAAGATGTGGTAGCAGTTTCCTGTAGTCCCAATGCAGCCAACACCATTCTGAGGCAGCTGGACATGGAGCTGATCTCTCTAAAACGTCAGGTATTTTATAAAAATAATATTTTTAATGATTCTGTGCATTTTACCTATCCGCTTTTTTTTTTAAAGGCTAGGCAAGTGAAGCAGTGGGAGTGGAGAAGGAACAAAGAAATCTGTAACTGGTTGTGATCAATTAGTTGTAAACACCACTGCACTCGGACCAGCCTACCTATCCAGTTTTAACTAGATTGAGCTCAGTTGTTTGCAGATTTTTCTCAGCCTTCCATTTATGCAAGTTTCTTTTTTTTTTTTTTTTTGACAGAGTCTCGCTCCAGTCTCTGTCAGTAGGTGCCAGGCTGGAGTGCAGTGGTGGGATCTCAGCTTACTGCAACCTCTGCCTCCTGGGTTCAAGCAATTCTCTTGCCTCAGCCTCCCACGTAGCTGGGACTACAGGCGTGTGCCACCACGCCCAGCTAATTTTTGTATTTTTAGTAGAGACAGGGTTTCACCATGTTGGCCTGGATGGTCTCGATCTCTTGACCTACTGATTTGCCCCGCCTCGGCCTCCCAAAGTGCTGGGATTACAGGCGTGAGCCACCATGCCTGGCCACAGGTTTCTTTTTTTTTTTTTTTTTTTTTTTTTTTTGAGATGGAGTTTCGCTCTTGTTACCCAGGCTGGAGTGCAATGGCGCGATCTCGGCTCACCGCAACCTCCGCCTCCTGGGTTCAGGCAATTCTCCTGCCTCACCCTCCTGAGTAGCTGGGATTACAGGCAGGCGCCACCATGCCCAGCTAATTTTTTTGTATTTTTAGTAGAGACGGGGTTTCACCATGTTGACCAGGATGGTCTCGATCTCTTGACATCGTGATTCACCTGCCTCGGCCTCCCAAAGTGCTGGGATTACAGGTGTGAGCCACCGCGCCCAGCCACAAGTTTCATTTTTTAAAGTTTATCTTGTGTGCAACTTAGAAGATACCTCTGCCTGTTTTAGATTTGAATCTCAGCATTACTGCCTGTTAGCTCTGTGATCTTGGGCAAATTATATAACCTCCATAAGCTTCAATGTTCTATCTATAAAATTGGGAAATAATCATTCTTCTCTTGTAGGTTATTGGGAATTATTTATGGTACATGTAGATTGTTTGGCAGTGCTTGGCCCATTTTGAATGCTCAGTGAATAATGGTTGTTGTCTTCATCATCAGTAGTAGTAGTAGTACTAGTAGTATTGTACGGGCACCATCATCATAACCAGATAGTAGTTAAGAATCAGCATCTAGAGTCAGTGAACTTGTTAAGTTCTAACCGTGGCTACACCATCTCCTTCCTGTGTAACCTTGGAGGAGCTCTTTAACTTCTCTCAGCCAGAGTTTTCTCATCTGGAAATGTGGATAATAGTATAGTGGTTGAGAGGAATTAAACCAGATAATATGTAAGTGCTTAAAACAGTGTCCGGCACATATTAAGTACTCAGTTAATCATTGTTATTAGATCTCTGGCCTTTCTTAGTTATCTTTTCCTGTTGTTTGTTTGTTTTATTTTTTTCTTATCCCTTAAATCCATGTATTCTAAGTCCATACTTTCCTGATCTATATCAACCAACCCTACACTGTATGCCAGTGACTTCTGAGTCTTACTTCTCAAGCTGCGACTTTTCTCAAGCTCCTTAGCTATAGTCCCAGCTGCTTACTAGGTTTTTCCCTAAAATATTTTTTCTCTGTTTCCTGTCTGTTGAAACATCAGAATCCTCTTTTATTCATCCCCTGCTCTTATCCCTTTCCCAACACATGTAAACTAAAATGATAACCAAGTTATGTGAGTTTTATTTCTGAAATTTCCTTTAAATCAATTCCCTCATTTTTATTTTATTATTACTACCAATTTAAGTTCTTACTCTTGCTTGCCTGAGAGTAGCTATCATGTTGATTTTTTTTTTTTTTTCTTTATTTTAGTTTTTTGTAGAGAAAGGTTCTTGCTGTTACCCAGGCTGGTCTTGGACTCCTGGGCTCAAGCTATCTTCCTGCCTGGGCCTCAAAGTGCTGAGCTTATAGGCATGAGCCACCACACCCTGCCTCTTGTTGATTCTTTCTGTTACTTCTCTTTAGCTGGAGTTTACACATTATTGCCAATATTATCTTTTTAAAGTACTGGTCTGATCACTGTCATTCATCTTAAAGCTCTTTGTTAGTTTGCCTTTAGCGGATTACAGTAGAGGTAGATAGAGATTTGTAAGAAAATCAGGTTAAGAAATTTGAGATTCGTCCAGAGTTAGGAAACTACTGAAGGACTTTAAGGAAAGGTGGACCATGGTCATATTTAGAGTTTTTAGCCCTATCTTTTGCATTTTCTTGTGCTTTTTTTGTAGTTGCTTTAGGGATTACTATATTCATCCTTAGTTTATCACTGTATACTTAGTTAATATTACAGTAGTCCTCCCTTAATCTGTGATTTCACTTTCCATGGTTTCAGTTACCTGTAGTGCAGATATTTTGAGAGAGAGATTGTGTTTACCTAGCTTTTATTACAGTTATAATTGTTCTATTTTTAGTTAGCTATTGTTACTTTCTTATTGTGCCTAATATATAAATTAAACTTTATCATAGGTATGTATACATAGGAAAAAATAGTACAGGTTGTGCATCCCTAATCTGAAATTTGAAATGCTCCAAAATTTGAAACTTTGAACATGGTGATCAAAGGAAATGGTCATTGGAGCATTTTGGATTTTGGGTTTTCGGATTAGGGATGTGCAACTGGTATGTATTATGCAAATATTCCAAAATTCCCTGAAATTTGAAACACTTCTGGTCCCAAGCATTTTGGATAAGGGAATACTCAACCTGTATATGTTATGATTTGGTACTATCCATAGTTTCAGGCATCCACTGGGAGTTTTGGACTGTGTCCCCTGCGGATATGGGAGGACTACTGTATACTACTCCTTACAAAATATAAGAACCTTGCAACAATGGCCGGGCGCAGTGGCTCAAGCCTGTAATCCCAGCACTTTGGGAGGCCGAGGCGGGTGGATCACGAGGTCGAAAGTTCGAGACCATCCTGGTCAACATGGTGAAACCCCATCTCTACTAAAAATACAATAAAACTAGCTGGGCATGGTGGCGCGTGCCTGTAATCCCAGCTACTTAGGAGGCTGAGGCAGGAGAATTGCCTGAACCCAGGAGGCAGAGGTTGCGGTGAGCCGAGATCGCGCCATTGCACTCCAGCCTGGGTAACAAGAGCGAAACTCCGTCTCAAAAAAAAAAAAAAAAAGAACCTTGCAACAGTATGGGAGCAAGATTCTCTATCTTAAATATGTTCAGATTTTTCTGTTCCTTGTTATTTACCCAAACTGCTTTTCTGTTAACTCTTTTTCTTCCTTAATAAACATAGACCCCATTTTCTTCCTCTGCTTTCTTACAACCACTTATTCTTCAACCCTTTCTAATCTAGTTTCTGCCCCATATGGTATGCCAGTTCTACTTAAACACCTATCTGAAGATCATTTATGGGCTGACATGGTGGCTCGTGCCTGTAATCCTAATGCTTTGGGAGGCCAAGACAGGAATGTCACTTGAGGCCAGGAGTTTTGACACCAGCCTGAGCAACGTAGTGAGACTTCATCTCTATATAAAAAAAATTAAAAATAGCCAAGCGTGGTTGTGTGTGTCTGTAGTGTAGTCCTAGCTATTCAAGAGAGGCTGAGGCAGGAGGATTGCTTGAGCCTAGGAGTTAGGGCTTACAATAGGAAAAAATATCATTTATGAACAAGTGACCATATCTAATGCTGCCTTCTTGGTTTTTAACTCCTGTGACTACTCAGTAATGTTTGACACTGTCAACCATTTCTTTCTTTTTGGATTTTTTTTCACTTGACTTTGTGACTCTCTTGAGTATGTATGTGTGTAGTACATATGAAATAGTACATACTTAGAAGGCAGCTATGCTTACCCCTATACCAGCAATGTATCTCATATTTGGTTAAATGCTTAGCCTTTAGTCAGACTATGAATGCAAGATGCCCATCTTTGAAACCATAGCACTGTTCTTTAGAAAACTTCTAAAACATTTGCCTGTAATACTTTAAATGCACTTAAAATATAAAGGAACAAAATGTACTCAGTCACCTGTTTTCATACTTCATTCTCTGTACTACTCTTACTATACTTAGGGACTGTTTTTATTGATTTTTTTTTTTTAAGAAGGAACTTTAAACTTTCACTTCCTACCTTGGGGCCAGTGCAGTGGCTCACACCTGTAATCCCAGCACTTGGGAAGCTGAGGCACGCGGTTCATAAGGTCAAGAGATCGAGATCATCCTGGCCAACATGGTGAAGCCCTGTCTCTACTAAAAATACAAAAATTAGCTGGGCATGGTAGTGCGTGCCTGTAGTCCCAGCTACTTGGGAGGCTGAGGCAGGGGAATCGCTTGAACCCGGGAGGTGGAGATTGCACTGAGCCGAGATTGCACCACTGCAATCCAGCCTGGCAAGAGAGCAAGACTCCATCTCAAAAAAAAAAAAAATCCTATCTTGGTTATTCATTTGATGTGTGACATTTGATATGTGCCACAGTAAAGTGTCATGGGTTTAAAAATTCTGTTAATCACTGCAACTTTTATGTCACAGACATCTCATATACAGTGTCCAAACTAAATTCTTCCACACTCACCCTAGTTATCTATTCCAGTTTTTGTATTCTCTGTCTCAGTGAGTAGTGCCACATACTCTCAGTTACTGAAGCCAGTGACCACTTATCCTCAATTCCCCCTAATTCTCCACAATCAAGTGTTTACAAAGATGTCTTAATTTTGTTTCCAAGTTTTGTTTTGTTTTTTTTGAGACAGAGTTTCGCTTTTCTGTTATTGCCCAGGCTGGAGTGCAATGGTGCGATCTTGGCTCACTGCAACCTCCACCTCCTGGGTTCAAACAATTCTCCTGCCTCAGCCTCCTGAGTAGCTGGGATTACAGGCATGCACCACCATGTCTGGCTCATTTTGTATTTTCAGTAGAGGCTGGGTTTCTCCATGTTGGTCAGGCTGTTCTCAAACTTCTGACCTCAGGTGATCCTCCTGCCTTGGCCTCCCAAAGTGCTGGAATTACAGGTATGAGCCACCATGCTGGGCCTCTAATTTATTTCTTTAACCTCTGTATACCACTGCCATCCTTCCTTCATTCCTACAATTTTAATGAAAGTTTTCTTAATTATTTAATATTTCTCACCTAGATTGCTAAATTAATTTCCATTCTCTTTACCCTATTTTGTTCTTCACATTACTACTGGAAGTATCTTTCTAAAAGGCAGGTATGGTCATTTTGTTCCCTTCCTTAAAAGTCCTTTAGGTTTCCTCCAATCTTTTTTTTTTTTTTTTTCCCCCAGTCTTTCTAAGGTTCAATTCAGGTATATCCTTCCATCTTTAGGCATAATTAAAATTCCTCAGTCTGGCCCCAGCCTAACTTCTTGTCTTTGCCTTAGTGCTTTTCTGTCTTCCTACACATGATTCTGCCTGGAATGCATATCCTCCTCTCAACCTTGTCTGCCAGTTAAATTCTTTAAAACTTAGTTTAGCCTCTTCTCCTCTGGAACACTTTCCCTAATCTTCCCCACCACCTGTTTATCAACATACATACAAGCACTCTTCTTTCTCATTCTCTCTCTCTCTCTCCATGCCTATGTTAGGTGTTTTAGTATTTATTATACTTTTATATTTACTTATCTCCCCACTAGTCTATGAAATCCTTGAGAATTGAGACTACTTTTTAATCTCTATATGTCTGTCTAACATGGCCAACTGACTACCCTTGAACTGTTCTAGATTTTATACATTTTAGCTTTGGTTTTAAGATCTCTGGTGGAAAAAAAGTTCTTAAATTATAAGTATTTCATTGTCCATACTAGAGGGGAAAAACAGAGGAAAAAAGTAAACAAAAAATCCTAACCCTTAACAGTCTAATTGGAGACTAATAATATTGCTAGTAGAGTAGAAGTTAAAAACTTGGTATGGTTTAAATTCAGGTTGTATCTCCTAGCCTTAGAAAAGTTTTTTAACTTCTCTGTGCCTTATATTCCTCATCTGTAAAATGTTTATGAGTAGAGTCTATTCTGCCATAACTTTTTTTGAAAATATGGATTTGTTCTAATGCAGTTAATATACTTGGAAACAATTTGAACATAACACAAATTTTTTGTTTGTTTGTATATGATTTTTGTCAGCAAAAAACATGCATCCAGCTGAAGTAAGCATGCACACATCTCAAACATGTAACAGCTACCTCAATTCACTGTGTGTTACGAACCATACATATCTGGTGTTAAAATTTCAAGTAACCCTCCTACCACTTCCACAGTAATTCACAAACTGCAACCATTTTGACTCCCACTTCCATAGGCAAACTTCATGTCTTTTTTTCCAAAGTAAAGTACTGTCTGTATTGTAGCATTTATGGATTTAGAAAAAATCATAAAATCATTTAGAATGTGTAAAACTGTGTTGCCATTTTTGTTAGGTTCCTGTCTCATGTGGTCATTGAAGTTTCTTAATGTTGTATCCCAATCTCCTTTTCCCTGCAAGCCCTGCGGTGTTTATTATGGATTTTGCATAGCACACTGACCTTTTCTGGTGTTTTTTTTTTTTTTTTTTTTTGAGACAGGGTCTTGTTTGTCATCGAGGCTAGAGTGCAATGACACAGTCACAGCTCACCGTAACCTAGAACTACTGGGCTCAATCAATTCTCCCACCTCAGCCTCCCATACCCAGCTATTTTTTTTTTCTTTTTTTTTATGGAGACAGGGTCTCACTAAAATTGCCAGGGTGGTCTCAGACTCCTGGCCTCCCAAAACACTAGGATTGTAGGTGTGAGCTATTGTACCTGGCTAGTTAGTGACTTTTAATGTATTTGTCATGTTACAGCAGAACTGATTGTACTTACCTCACAGGGTGATTTTGAGAATTAAGTGATTTATTACATATGAAGGACTGAGAATGATGTTTTATATGTAATAAATAATAAATGTTAGCTACCATCATCATCATTATTATTGGAAGAATTGTTATTTAGTCAAAACATGGTAATGAGAAGTATTGATGGAATTTAATCTGTATGTTTGCCAGTTGTCTTTGGTTATAAAAGTTGTTGCTAAAAGATATTCAAGACCATGATATTCAAAGATACTGAGTCTTTTAGTCTGTTAGATGTTTAATTAGTTGATATGTGTGCAAGTTGAATTAGTGGCATGTCATGCCCTAAGTGTGAAGTATGACTGTTCTCCTAAAATAAAATTTAAGAGGGTTTTGGAATATATTCTTTACACTTACTGAGTACTCAAAAATTTACTTAAGTACACAATCTGATTCACACTTGTGGTTATTTTGTTGAAGGTTCAGAATGCTAAGCAAGTAAACAGTGCACTTAAACAGAAAATGGAAGGTGGAATTGAAGAATTCAAACCTCCTGAGGTATGTTATTGAAGGATATATGTGATTAAGTATAGTGAAAACTTGTTTTTTCTGTTATTCAGTGTTCAAGTACTATTTTGGTCACATGCATCAATAATACTTTGAAGATCGCATAATATGGATAATTTATTATGTCTCTATTTTTTTATTTAGATGATCTTATGATGCTTGGTTAATTGGTTTGTATTTAAATTATTTATTTCTTGCCCTTACAATTTGATAGCAAGCAACATAATTAGGGAAAATAGTAGTTGGAACAGTGTATGTGAAACTAGAAGCTCATTGATGAGCAAGCTATCATATTTCTGGGTCTTCAGCAATGTTTGCTCAAAGCCCTTTCCTGCTTGTGTGAATTGGTAACACAGCAAGAAAAATATCTCGAAAAAAAAATAATTTTAGCAAGTTTTTATTTTAAGATAATTGTCTTTTGGCTCAGTTTTCACTTACGATTTTAGTATGAGGACTTACATTCTTCTACATAAAAACAAGGTCTGGATTGACCATTTTCTTAAGTCTTCCATTTCAGTTGAAACCTAAATATGTTTTTGCTGTTTGTGGTAATTACAGGGGTACTTATATTTTCTTAAGGTCCAATCAGGTCTTTTTCTAGGAGCTTCTACTATCTTTTTTTCTCTTTCTTTCTAAGACTTCCATATTATGCTTCATATCCTGGATTTGCCTTTCTGTGTATGTAATAATCAAATCTTATTTGGTCTTATTGGGACTTTTTTTCCCCACAAGGGGAAACTTAGGTTGACTGAAATATCTACAGATGAAATATATGTGAAGGGCTATGGGGAGGCAGAATAGTAGTACTTCAGAAATAATGTACCATATGCCATCTTAGTCATCAGTGTCTTTCAGAAAGGAAGACTTAACAAAAAACGTTGTTTTTCATTGTTTTAAATAATCTCTTTCAAGATGGTTAGGTTATGGAAAAGAGTGAAAAATAATACAAAGACTGATATCTCATTCCTGGCCCACAGGTAAACTGACAAACATTCGTAGTGATTATTTAAGGATAATATAGTACAAAAATTACTATTTTATTTTGTTATTGCAACAAAAATTATTTTAATTTTGTATTCATTAAAAATTCATGAAAGCAAAGAATTTTAAATGTCTATAATTTTGTAATCTAAAAGTTATATAAAATACCACAGATATTAAAAACATTGTGAGAATAGCAGGAAGAACTTTATGTTAGCAAGTGTGAAAAACAAAACATGGGAATTCCTAGGAAAATGTGTCTTGTCAAAATTGCTTTTGTAAAAGAAAGAAAAGCTGAATAATTGATAATCATTAAGTAAAACGAAGAAATAATTAACATTTTTCTCTCACAAGAGAATACTAGGCCCAGACAGTTTTACAGAAAAGGTTTACTAATTTTTCAAGAAAAGGATAATTCTAATCCCAGATTTTTCATAAAATTACAGGACAGTCTCACTCATTAGCTTTATATAAAGAAAGATGTGAACGTCTAGTAGCATTTTATAGCTTTCCTATATGCTATCTTATTTGATATTTATGTAAATCCATACAGATAGATGAACCAGATACTATTATTTCACATGAGGAAACTGGAAATCAGGAAGGTTAACCAACTACTTCAAGGTGACCGAACTAGTAAATAATGAAACTCTGGCTGTATCTTATATTTTTAGAGTCCTGATTGGACTTCTATATTAGTATGTATCATGCTGCCTCTTACATTTTAAGTTTTTGTATAATAGCAAAATTATATGTTACATTTCCACATTTTAATGCAGTTATTGGGTAAGAAGTTATCAAACATTTATTGTATTTTTTTATTTATTATAAAAATAATGATCAAAATAAAATAACCAAAATGCTAACACGCTACCATCCATACACTGAAGTTGGATATTACTTTGGGTTGATTTATTGAACTTATATGAGATGAAACATACATGTTTTATCATCTAAAGGGTCCCCAGGATATATTTATATTTGTCATATTATTCTTACTGCTTTGGGGAGGAGGGCAACTTGAAGAGATGTGTTTCAGTTAACAGTTACAGTACAGAACTTGACGAATCAGGTAACCTATCTCCACCTTTAGGTTAAACCATACTGAATCAAAGAATGTTAATAACTTTTGAAATAATTATAAATAGCCATCACATGAAGTAACTCTATTGAAAGTAAGCTGTCAGTAAAGTGCTTTTTTATTAATTTGGTTGTATTTCTTACTTTCATTTAGGGAAAAATTTGTTGAAGAAAGTTCATTTACTTCCACAAGTATTTATTGATCAGCTATTTCATATGAGGCACAGTGTTAGGCCCTGTGAAAAGTGTGTGAGAAGGGGGAACACATAAAGATGTGGACAAGATTAGGTGATTTTTTTACACCTGCTTTTTAAAGGAACTTGCAGTCTAGATGTTACAAGACAAACTGATAAAAGTTGTGTGATAGATTTATAATAAGCAAAGTGTACCGGAATATAAGTGGCCATTATTCATTTTGGCAAGGACAGTTAGAGAAGACTTCTTAGAGGGGGAATACTGCAGCTGAGGTTTGAAGGATAAGAGGGATTTTTTTGCACAGGCAGAAGACCAAAGAGGTCATTCTAGGCAGAGGGAATAATATGAGCAATGGTTTGGTGTTGAACAGTGCATTCAAAAATATAAGTCTAGCAGGGGAAAATTAAAAAGCACTTTTAAAAATGAATCAGCAGGTATTCCCTGAGCACTTACTATGTTCTCAATATTGTGCTAATTAATTGCTATTGAGAATTCCTTGGAAATGTAAAACAGTCTTAAGAAGCATATTGTCTACTTAGGAGGCAAACTTGGATGCAGAGAAGGAATGAACATGGTGTATGAGAGATGTTAGCAGGGTTGAGTGGGGGCATCTTTGTGATAGACATAAGTGGGCAAGGCCAGGGCATAAAGTCCTTGTGATAGCCAGAAAGAGAAGTTTGCTTTATAAACTAAGTCAAATGGAAAGACCCTGTAGTTCCTTTAGTACAGAAGGATGTAAAGAAACTTTTTTTAAATTTAGGAAAATTACCATGGCATTATACAAGATAAATTATAACAGGGAAACTTTATAGTTGCTAAAATATTAAGCATGTAAGTCATAAATGATAAAAGGGTATCAGTAAGGTTGGGTATTATTATAGGAGTGGAAGCAAGTAGTAAATCCAAAGAACATTGCAAGGTAGGAAACTGTTAATATGTCTCCTTGAAAGTATTTGTGAGTGTTGAGGGTGTCACTGGCATGTCTTCTGCTTTGATGTGTTTTGGATGGAGGTAAATGGGTAGGTGGAGGAAAGATTGATGAATCAAAAAGGAAGAATAAGTATAACTGAAAAAGGAGTGCTTTTTGAAGCTGTAAATTCCCCATCTATGGTTGTTTTCACGCAAAGGTAGATGACATCCTTTCATTATAGATGTTGGGTGGAATTTTTAGCATTGAGTAGAAAGTTTAACTTGGTGATCTTTCCTACCTCTTTCAACTCAGATAGTTTGAGTCTACCACTGATAAAAATGGGAAAGATGTGAAAACAATTTAGCAGGGAAAGGATAGGGTAAAAATGCTGAATTCACTAAGGATGTCATGCTTTTTGGGACCTTTCATATTATTATAAATTAGATTATTTTATATTATTGTTGTTTTTAAAGCAATTTTAGATGGATGTTTTTGTAGAAGAATATACTCTGTGATACCATCTAGCTAACTACAGCTACCATACAGTTTTAGATTCCTAGAATTGTCTTTAAATTAATCTCTACCAAAGTTTCTCATTAAAAGACAATGTTTAAAATCAGTAACTTACCTGAGTCCTGTGTATTTAAAATTTTGACCCTATTTTTTCTTCACTATTCCACCTCCTCTGCTTCCATTTTGTCACATACTGTTTAATCTTTCAACCATCCCTTCTGCATTTTTCCCCCTCCCCTCCCCTCCTCTCCCTCTTCCTCCCCTCCCTTCCATTTTACAGGGTCTTACTCCCATCGCCCAGGCTGGAGTGCAGTGGTGTGATCTCAGCTCACTGCAACCTTGACCTCCCAGGCTCAGATGATTCTCCCACCTCAGCCTCCTGAGGAGCTGGGACCACAGGCAAACGACCACACGTGGCTAGTTTTTTGTATTTTTAGTAGACATGGGGTCTTGCTATGTTGTCCAGGCTGGTTTCAAACTCAAGGACTCAAGTAATCGCCTGCCTCAGCCCCCTAAAGTGCTGGGATTATAGGTGTGAGCCACTGCGCTTGGCCCCTTTTGCATTTTTCCACTGAGCTGCCTCTTATAAAGGTTAGCATTGGCACAGATGACCACATTCCACAACTTTTAACTTCTGATTCCCATTGCCTTTTTCTGAGCTCTTGATATAGATAACTGCCCCTCTTTTTCTTCCTTTAACTTTTGAGAAGTTATGTTTTCTTTTATAACTCTTCTTCTGTTCCCTGGTTTGTCTTCTATACGTATAGGCATTCTCCCAAGTTTTTGTCCTCAAAATTCATTTTTCCTGTCTTGGATACACAGTCTCATTATTTTACTGTGTTAAAGTCATATGTTCATTTAAATTACACAAATTCATCTAGACATTCAGTCAAATAAAAGAGAAAAAAGAATATTTAGCAATAGCAAGTGTAGTAGTGCTGGCAGTTCTGCTTACACTCCATTTATTGAGTGTTTGCCCCAAAGTGAGCAGTGGTGAACTAGGAATTGAGAATCCACTATTTAGTCAGTCTTAGTTTCTGCATGCTTCCTATGTATCTGTATGTATCTCTTTGAACTGAGAGAGACTGTGTGTGTGTGTGTGTGTGTGTGTGTGTGTGTGTGTGTGTATGTTTGTGTAAAAACCAACACTACCCTAAATTCAAGCCAACAGCTTCATCTGTGGTTTAACTGAAAAACTAGTGGTCCATTCCAATGCTGGAGTAATACCTGACTGTGGGTGCGTTGAGAGACTGTGCCTGTCTCTGGCTACCTTAAGGACATTTCAAGAGTAATCTTGAAAATCAAATAAATT